GGCTCGGGCTTAAACTGCGCCTTGCACCTGGGGTCCTTTTTAAAACTGCATGCAACTGAAAGTTTTTGCGAAACATTTTTAGTCTTCAAGGACAACTGTCCACCACAACCTTCGCAGACCCACAGTTGTCTGTCCCCTAGCAGTTTTAAAACATGTGTAACATGTACCCCTTCAACCGTCACTCTGCCTTGGTGTGTGCATTGGTGCGCTGCCAGTGCTTCCAAGGTTTTGCGGTTCTTTGTGTGCAGGAGTTTAAGTTGACACTGAGCACACCGGAGGTTGAGACCTTCCCATTCCCACGCATGCACAGGTTTGGTCCGGACCAGCTCCTGGAACCATTCCTGTTGGGTGGTGATGTGGCCTCTCCCTATGTTGGAGCCAATGCGCTTTTTGCAGGGCCTGGAGGTGGCCTCGTTGCTCTTGCGAGCCTGCTTTTCCTGCAGGAAGACCTTATACACTGGGTGCTGATTTTCCCCAATGGCAGTAAGGATCTTTTCCGCCCTGCTCGCCAGGAATTCTTGTGCTTTTTTGCTGCAATGGTCCTGGTACTGACTGGCTGCCCGGACATCAGGGTGGGCCAGCTCGGCCGCTTTTTCCCCACACAGCTTGTCCGCCAGGTCATTGACCTGCTGTCTCCACGAGTTTTCCGCACCCACCTTCCGGAGGAACTCCTCCTCTGAAACATGGGATGGAACCCATTTCATTTTGAGGCGGTTGACATCTGTGGTTTGCAGCTCCCACCAGATGTCACCGTGGGTCTTGCCCGGCTTTGGGCTGCGGACTCGTTTCGGGACACCAAGGCAGTCTAGTGTCGTGTCAATAGGGCCTTCGGTATAACGGGCCAGCTGCAAAACGGCATACAGCTCCCCCCGAAAAACCGTCTGTGGTCCAGGGACTTGGCCTACGATTGCTCCTACCTGGACGTATTCTTGGCCCTGTTTCTTGCAGGCTTCTGCTGCATAAGCTACCTGCCGGAGTCTCGGGTCCGCCGTGTAGGGCCCCCCGCTAGCATCAGTGCCATACACAAGCTCCGGGTCGCTGAGGGCCTCTTTGTTTGCCCATATACCCAGAAAGATGGGGTTGTCCTCCTGTGGAGGCTGTACCTCCCATTTGGGTTTGGGCGGGAGGCCCCTGGTCCACAGTGATCTCGGGCCTTGGGCCCTGCCTTCTTGGAACCATGTTGGCAACTCCCAGTTTTGGGCCTCCCACCAGGCACAATCCAGGAGGACATGCTCCCAATCTGCTTCCTTGTGGCATCGGGGGCACACTTTGACAGCAGAGTTTTGGCTGCAAACCAAGGCACCCTGCCAGACGCACCTCAGGGCAGCTGCTTTCGTGGTTCGGCCTTCTTTCTTGAACCCCCCCAGCAATTTCCTCCCTACCGTCCAGTCGACTCCCTCCTGTAGCTCAGGGGCAGCAAGACCAGTGGCGATGCGGTGGTTCACCTCCTTCTGGTAGGTTTGCTGGAGGAGGTCTAAGACACGACACTCCTGCTGTGGGGTGTGTATGGTGTGCGTGGTGCCGTGGGTGTCCAACCATTCATCACTGCCTCTAGGCTGCCAACCCATGTCAAGCAGGTACGCAACCGTGGCTGCCAAAGGGCCCCTGACCATTTGCCACCTGCTGCTGGCCTCTTCCAGCCTTTGGACGGTGAGGCCCCATGTTCTCTCCAGCAGCTCTTCCTTTCCTACCCAGCGCTTCTTGAGCTGGAACCAGGCCTCAACTTGCTGGACCATCATGGTGCGGCCCGGGTCTTGGTACCTATCCCCCACGGAGGACAGGGCCACCTCCAGATTGCCCATCTTTTGTCTGCCACACTGTTCCGCCAGGGCAGTCCGGAGCTTTTGTCGCCGGGTGGGTGGCATACCCTGGGCTTGGTGGCCCCAGGTAAGGGCGGAGGCAACCCCTCCTCGGAAGAGGCGGACCCTGGCCGGCACACTCGGGACTCTCAGCTGTTTTAGCTTCTTTTGTCTTTTGCCCGCTTTGTGCCTCCGGGCCCTTTGCACCTTGACCCTTCGGACCCGACCTAGGGCACAGTCCAGGCCTAAGTCTTTCATACTATCGCAGATAGCTGGGTCCCCGTCTTTGCGCAGCTTCTGTAGCTCCCTTCTGGCTTCCGCGGTGGTGCACAGGAAGCCGGTTTTCTTGAGGGACAGACGGAGGTCGCTACCTTCCAAAAGCCGGCGAAGGGTTTTGTAACCTTCATAGACCGCAAATGCCGCCTGCTCAGGATATCTTGCTTCGAAATCCGCTCCGATATCATCTACCCAGGTGTCTAAGGCAGTGATACTTCGGAGCTGAGCGGCTTCTTGCATTATTGGTTGGAGGTACACCCTCGCCATCATTGTCGCGAACGGGCACCCTGCTAGGATGCCCCTCGCAGGGAGGATCCCCTCCGAAAGGAGATCCTCTGCCACGAGATATCTCGTTCCCCGGTAGACTTGCATGACCAGGAGGGCTATATAGCTGGCGGGAAGCCGGTTGCCACTATCCGCTCCTCCAATTTGGTCCAATTCACACTGTCATAGAAAGTCTGCAGGTCCAACAGGACCGCACAGGCATGTTTGTTAGCTGCGCGGCTAACCTCTCCTCTCAGGAGTCTCTGCATGCCTGTTTCTAGACAAGTGTTACCCGGGTCTCGCATCCATTTCTTGACGACCTGTGCTCTGCAGAAGCACCAAAGCCGATAGGTGATGGATGTGAGGGTTATGGGCCTTTCTATGTCCGCATTTTTGGGCAGGAGTGCCACATGGTGCGCCTGCCAGTGCTGTGGCGCCACTCCTGTGGTTTCAGCCAAGTTCAGGACTTGGGTGAGCTGCTCATAGGCAGGGAGGTTTTTGAGGGCAGCATAGGTGAGCCCATCAAGACCTCCTGCCTTGTCAGTGACATTCTTGAGGATGGCCTCGAGCACCTCTGCTGTTATTTTGAACAGCGGGGAGGCTTTTGCTGCATCCAGCAGGGTCTGGCCTATCGGGGGGGAACATTCTACCTCTCCCCAAATTGCGACCCACTGCTTCCTCCTGGCCCCTGGGCGCTCTTCGCCTGGGAGGTTTTGGAAGGGCCGATCTAGGACTCTCTCACTCTTCTTGAGAGAACTATAGAGAGGTCTCATCCCTTTGCTAATCCCGCTTGGAGCCAGTCCTTGTATTGGGCCTGCTGCTCCTTGGCTCTCTGCATCTGGAGGGCCGCCTCCTTGTGCCTGGCAGCGACACTCAAAGACCGCCACTGTGGTTCTTTTGCTGAACATTGCTTGTACAGTTCTGTGAGGAAGGCAGTACCTTCAGCAATGTCTTGACAGGTTTGGAGGGTGCCTAGGTCCGGTAGGTGCTGCTGGGAGGCGGGCACTTCTTCCAGGATTCTGGCCATGCGTGCCCACCAGCCCACTTCAGAGCCTTTGGGGGCAGTGGAAGGGCGCTGCAAGACTAAGGGTCCCCATTGGGCCTGCACACTGCCAGTCCTCGGTGCTTCGTGGCAGTGCTCCAGGCTGGCCGCCCAGGTCGCCAGCTGCCAGGTGCTCTGGTCCTCTTGGGCACAGGTCCTGTCCATTATGGCGAAATGGGAGGGTTGGACCTCTTGCCATTCTTGGTTTTTGAGGTCTGCTGTGAGTTTCGGGAACTGGGGAAGTTTCCAGGACTTCCATTCGCTAGCACCGTCCTTGACTTTGAGGTGCAAGGCTGCATGTGGTTTCCACGGGACTGCCCAGGTTGCAGACAGATCCACCAGGGCTTCCAGGCTCCTACTCACCACCCCAAAGTCCAGCTCCGCCCCATGGTTGCATGTAGCTTCTCCAGTGGCTACCATCCGCCCCCGCATCACCTGAATCAGCGCTGTGTCCTGAACTTCAGTCGGGTCCAGGTTCCAATCCCCCAAGATGATCCAGGGCTCCGGGAGGGTTCTTACGAAAGCCACCAGAGAGGATAGCACCTCTGCATTCGTGGGACCATTCAGGCCTTCCGTGTCCCTCAGGTAGAGGGACACAATCGTGTAGCCCCAGCGTCTTTGTCTCAGACCCACGGCTGTGTAGCCCGCCCCTTTGAATTGGTAGGTGGCTTTTTGCCACACTCCGTTATTTTTGGGATTGTACCCCGCAATCGCCTAATCTTCAAGATCCCCTGAACTAAACAACAAAAGGGGGTAGAATGGTGAGGGGAGAAGAGGTCATCATATAGAAAATCTCTTCAATCAAATCCAATGCAATCGCACATGATGTTTTGGATCGCACAGCCTGCTGAAGCATTCCAATTCGAAACCACCATCTCCTATGGAGAAAGTTGGTCGTCAAAGGGATGAGCCGAGAAGGACACTGCATGTCCGTCCCCCGCAGGCTGTTAAAACATTCTTGGGGTGGGCTGGGTGGGACATCAAAACTAAAAGGCCTCCAAGGCCCTACCTAACTCCACCTTCCGTTTGCCCCAAAATGTTGCACGAACATCGACTGTACACATGTTTTATCAAAATTGCAATCAATCATACCAATAGCTCTCCAAACTGAAATTTAATTTTCATGTGAAATCCGATCTCAAAACAACATGTTCGCATGCAGGCTGAAAGTGAACTGACATGACTGAAGAACTGAAAGCAGGCCACATGTGAATCCTCGATCCAAAACCCAAACTTGGGTGGCGACCAAGCTGAAGAGAATCCACCGCCACCCAACCTCACCCCTCCCCCCTCCCAGGCGAATAGGGGAACAAACTGTTTGGTCCGTTTCACTACCCAAACAAGGCTTGTACCCCGCAATCGCCTAATCTTCAAGATCCCCTGAACTAAACAACAAAAGGGGGTAGAATGGTGAGGGGAGAAGAGGTCATCATATAGAAAATCTCTTCAATCAAATCCAATGCAATCGCACATGATGTTTTGGATCGCACAGCCTGCTGAAGCATTCCAATTCGAAACCACCATCTCCTATGGAGAAAGTTGGTCGTCAAAGGGATGAGCCGAGAAGGACACTGCATGTCCGTCCCCCATTCGAAGACGAGGTTCATCCCTAGGTCACATCACCCCCACACTGATTTCTCAAATCGAACGCTTCCTGACATGGGGCCCATTTGCGAATCAAGCTTGATGGCGTTCAAGTCCGCCCTAAAATTGCAGAACTCAAGCAGAGGCATCAGCACTGAAAGATCCACTTCAGACCAACTTACTGACAGGCGCCGTCCAGCACTGAAAGCATCGAAGCAATGTTTGGTTATCTGATCAGCCTCCACATTCGCATCCCGAGGACGCCAGCTAAGATGACAACGGATGCCAAGGTGATCACAGCGATCAACGTACTGCATGAGAATGAACATCAGGGGGACCTTGGTAGTTAAGAGTTTGATTGACAAAGCCTCCGTGGCCTTGTTGTCCGTGCCTCCTGAGAAACAAGACCTCAGGACCCCAGGACCCCCAAGCAGCTCCCCAAAGTCTCTTCCCAGGAGGTGTAGGGCCACCAGTGAAGCCAACAGCTCCGCCGAAGTGCTCGCCCAGGCGCTCCCCTCCTCGTTGAACAACCAGGGAACGTCCTCCCTTCCGAGAATGATCTGAAACCAAGGAGCCGCGCTGGGCTCGCCACCCAAGTGCAAGAACCATCCACCAAGCACAACCGAGTTCTCATTACAAGCCGCGTCCGTCCTGAAAAGCTCGCCTAGGTCCTTTTCACCGACCCCGGCCGGATAGGTGCGACAACCAGCCTTCAAGCGACTCGAAATGAACTTCAGGGTGCACCTCACCAGGTTGGGCAACGATAGCACAGCCCCTTTTGGCACCACAGCAAGCCATGCGTAGCCAGGAGCCAAGAAAGGTCGGATCCAGATCAATATCTTTGACATAAAGCCCAGTCTACCATGCAGCTCGTGGTATCGGCGGACATCCACAAGCCAGTTGGCCTTTTCCAATCCATCAATGCAATCACTGATCCATCGACATCGCTTCTCCGAAATCCCGATGTGGAACCTGGTGTAGTCGATCCAGTATCCCACCCAATCCACGTGCAGGCCGCCTCTCCACTTATGATCAGAGAAAGGAGTGCCTTGCATGCTTAGCAGAGCCAGCATCATCCAGATGTTTATCCAGCGCTCCCGTCCTCCACTGACAACGTGGAGGTCGTCGGCATAAATGAGCATAAAGATGAAGGTATCCAGCAGAACGCGGAAGGCCAGCCTCCCTACGAGACCAATCAGCCGAGAGAACCAATAGGCTGCAGAGGCCACGCCAAAGGTTCCGGTCCGGTTTAACCAGACCACCGAGGAATCGGCCCTTGTCTTGCACCCCAGTACCCCCCAATGCTCTGGGTGGTGGAGGAACCTTCGGTGGGCCTTCGAAACGTCCCCGACGATGCCGAAGAACACCCTCTCCTCTGACGTGGCACCAAGCCTTTGCAAAGAAGCGACCTCTCGAGCACCGGGAGATTCCAGGCGGTCCCTCATGATCACATCGTTGTTGACTTGGACCCCATGGGTCCCATCATGAACCACACGGAAATCGTTGTCGGGTTTTGGAATAACCGCCTGAGCCGCCACCCTCAACGCATCCCCAGGGTAGCGCCGCCTCGCCTCCGACATGGAAAGCGGGAACATGCGCCCGGCCAACTCCTCCTTCTCGAAGGCGGCCTGAAGAGCCTTTTCGACTCCCGGACCGTCTCTGTAGTTCCTCATCTCGGGCTCCCACTCTGACTCGTCATATTTCTGGTCTTTCATTCTTCGTCGATAAACCTGCGGCGTAGGTCCGATAGGCTCCAAATGCCCCACCTCTACTCCATTGCAGAAACAATACTTGCCCTCCTCAAGAATCCGAAAATCAGGATCCTCCAGAATCTGAAGAGTTTGTGCAATGGCCCTAAGGTAGAACGGTTGGTTCGGAATCATCTCCCGCGCGCGAACAGGATCCGGCAGCATTTGGAACCAATCCTCTCGCAGCGACTCCAATCCCTTCGGATCGAAGAGGGGGCCGGTCCACTTTCCCGTGGCCAGCTTGAAGGTAGCCCTAGCTAGGTCTGGAAAAGAATCCACCACAAACCTCCGCACCCGGGACCTCAGTCTCTCCGCAAAAGCATGAGCACTGTCCGAAAGCCTCATTCTCGGGCCGCCATCTCCCTGGTGAGCACCTGCCAAACCCATCCACAAACTCATCCTTCAATCCAGCAAACTCACCAACCATCGGAGGCCCCTCGCAACCAGACTGCAGCTCACTGTAGGGGATATCCTCCACGGTGGTTTTGCTTAATGCACCACCTTTGCCCAGGGTCTCCTCTCCGGTGGTTTTGCTTAAAGCACCACCTTTGCCCAGGGTCTCGACCACTGCGTCCTCCGTCAAGCACTCCGGGCCCCTCTTTCGAAGTCCCGGGACCTCAAATCCCATATCTACCAGCTTCTTCCGATCCCCATCGGCCAGGAGACCATCCTGGGAAATCGAATAGGCCGCAAGCACCAGTCGCGTCCCTCCATCCATGAAGGAGGAACATGCCAGGAGAAGGTTGTCGTAACTCCCGTTCGTCGTGTCTTTGTGAAGGGGTTGACCAATGTCTCGAAAGAACGCCATCGAAGTGAAAGGCCTGCCAGTAAAGTTCGTAGTGATCAGTTTAGCCAAGAGCTCCGAGCTCAAAGGAAAAGAAGCCATATTGCGCCTCAATCCAGCCTTGCCATGATGACAGTAGGCCCCAGTTGTGAAAGATCTCTGACCCTTAATCACCACCGAGGATTCTCTAACCCTGTCTTCATCCGGCAGCAACTCAGACAATCTCAGGAGCTGAGATTCATAGGCCTGACCAGCCGACAACATATTTGCTGCCAGACCCTCTGCCCCTTCACCCCCCAATTGCTGTGAAGAGAGCAACACAGGATCAAAACGAAAGATGATTCCAGCCCCCGATGTGTCAACCTGGGGGATTGCAGCTGGCCTCCCCCCATCGAAGACGGAGAAGGCCCACTCGGAAATCTGTGCACACAGAGCAGCAGGATAAGCAGCAGCAGGCGTGGCCTTCCAGCCCCCAGCCGAAAGCTTGCCCAGCAGGGAATCATGGTCCTTATGCCCACAAAATCTCGGAAGAGGCCCCAAGTAACGCTCCTCAGAGTTGAATCGTGGTGGCCCCACGAAAGGCATCTGCCGACAGGCGGTAATGGAAGTCAAAAAGCGCGTGGGTTTCGGTGATGTAGCATGAAACCGACATTGGTAAATTGCAAAGGTAAAAACTCGTTCGTGGCTCATCAATCGCTGTGCCTCGGGCAACTGCCAGATTGACGCCGGCACATGTCCGCCCTTTGTCCGTCCCAAGTCCTCTGGATGTTCCAGCAGGAAATCAGCGCGGACCTCCAGAGCAGCCTCACAGATCCTGAAAGAGAAATGTACAAACTGGTTCCCTTGGTCGGCTTGCATTTGCAATTTGTTGGAGAGCCAAGGAAAACCTAAGGGGTAGAGACGGGAACGCAAAGGTTTTGGGCCCGGCTGTACGAAACGAACCCTGGAAAAAGTACTGCAGGGAGGCGTCACCAAGATCACATCCCACTGATTGGATCGAACCTCAGCCAAGCATCGCGTTGCGACCTCATCATCAAGCAGATCCATCGTCGGATCTCGACATATGTCGAGCTCAGATAGCACCAAAGAAACCGAATGTTTTTCACAAAGGCCCTGCAAATAATGCCGCACATCAGCTTTCCTGGGTTGCCCAGCAAACAGATACAGCACGCGCAGAACCGGTCGCAAACCATCGGTCGAATGCGAAGCCCTGGCGGGCTCGCCCCCGAGTCAGCTGCCGCCCTGAGCACCATGTTGGAAGGCGGGATGGTTGCCCTGGCAACCCTTGATTCGGCACGCATGCACTCGCTTGCATCCCTTGTTCTGGCAGCCCCGCTTGATGTTGAAAGCATAGCACAACTCCCGGCCATCAGGTGTCTTTGAAACCAGATCAAACCAGCTGTCGCCCACCTTGATCCGTCCATCTGTCTTGGAACCTGTCTTGCCGGAGCCCTTGCCGCGTCCCTTGTCACCTTTCTCCCCTTTGCGAGACCACTTCAAAGGAGGCAACTGAGCTTGCTCATCGTGGCCGGAACGCCTCGCAAGAGCCACTTGCGATGTAAAATGAAGTTCCTTGAGTTCAGTGTTGCGGGTTGCCTCGTGCAACGTGGTGGCTAAGGAGGATCCGGTTTTGTGGGCCTCCTTGATGGCCCATTTCCTCATCTCATATTCGTACTGCAGGAGCACACCCCAGGGAACGGGCAGAGTATGACGGTCCTGGCCTGCCATGGAACTCGAGGGCATAGCAGAAGACACCTGCAGCGTGTAGCAACGGTCACCCAGCAGGTACTCCAAATACCGGTCAAAGTGGCTCAGCTCCAATCCCTGAAGGTAAGCCCGACCCCGGCACTTGGCAGACAACATGACCCAAGTGGATGCTTCCAAGCGAATCTTTGCACGAAGATCCTCGGTGCCTTGAGGGAGTTTTCCCTTGGGCTTCTGACGGGTGACTCGGAGCCGACCTTGGTTATCCAACACCGTCTGCAGTTGCAACGAGTTCGCCTCCTTGCGGGAGATGACCTCATCCAAGTAGGAAGCAGTTGGCTCGCCATTTTCAATCTGCTCAAGCTTATGTGCCAAGTACTCCGCAGCGGGTTCCTCGGCCTCAGTGACGGCATATCCGCGTACAGTCTCCAAAGCCAAACGCATCGCGGCCCGATCTGAGGCCGCCAGGGGCTTCTGCATGCCCAAAACCTTGGCTTCGGCTTTGAGTTTGGCCTCCTCCTCACGGAGGAGGCGGGCAGCTTCCCAACTCGTCACCAAACAAGCGATCCTTGCCCGATCAGCCGCAGTGTCCGGCCGGATCCCAAAATCGGCCGAGATAGCTGTGCGCACCGCGGCGCGATCATCTGCAAAAACCGCAAAAGTACGGACATTCTTGTAGTGTTGTGCCACCGAATACTGCAAAGCTAAATCCACGCCATGCTCCTCCAGAAGATAAAGGAAATCGGAGTCCACATTGACTCGAAGATACTCCCTCTGTTGCTCCGGAGTGGGTGCAGCAGCCGCCATGATACGTGATCAAGATCAAATTAAGTTCAAAGGCACAAAACCTAAAAGAAACGAATCAAAACTTATCGCCTGACAGGTGAGAACTCCCGCAACCTCTGACAAGCTGAAAAGATGAGAGAATTCCTGACACTGACAACGGACATTTGAGCCTGCATCCACAGGCACCCGGCTGTCTGAAAGGCATCTGATAGCCGCCCAACCGGTTCAAGCTGACATTCTGACATGGAGAAACTGACAGGGCACATGCAGACCGCTGAAAGCCCATAAACTGAAAGAGCATGGAGCGTGACTCCCAAACCCCCAAATCCACAAATCCACCAGAACAACAGCTGAAAACCCGGAGTTTTCAGATGCAAGTCGGATCGCTTGCACAGAAGTCAATCCCAGTCCGCCTCCATGGGCTGAGATCACAGCTAAGCCACACGTCAACTCTACTCATCATCCGGAGGATCCTCAATCTCCGTGGAAGACGAATCTCCCGAGCTAGAAGACAAAGTATCAGCCCCCTGATCCCGATAGCAGAGCTTGCAAAAGCTATCCGCAACGCTCGGTGTGACCTCCCAGATGTCCTCAACCTGGAAACATGAGCTGGGGCATACCCAACATCCATCACGAATGTGCAGTCGACGATGTCGTGAGTGTCGGCTGACGCTGGCCCAAAAGGGAGATGGTTTTGATCCCACATCCGGATTCTCCACTGCAGTGACTGGGGGTTCTGGCACCAAACCAAAAGCCGAGTTATCCAGTAGAGGCCAGCGTTGATTCAGCACGGTGTGTCCATTGACCGAACGAAGGATCTTGAAAGGTCTGATCAAAGGATCGGGGTCCTCGCCACGACCCCTCAACCAAGCGGCCAGCTGATCAAAAAGCTCATCCTCATCGTACCCCGGCGCACCGCCAGACAAATGGTCGCAAACCAAACGCTGCACATCGTGAACAATCTGCCGGCAGGTGTGAATGTAATCAGCGCTCTGCTGCAGGCCCACGTGCCATCGACCAAGGTAGTCCCGACGCTCCTTCGGCTCCCCAAATGTGGCCGCCAAAGTGGGAAGGACGTGTCTCATGCTATGACCAGTCCAAAATAAATAACAGGCGCTCGGGACCAGCGTCGTACCACTGTTTTGCCACGTCTGATCCGTAACCTTGATCCGTCGGGGGACTTTTAGAAGAGACCAAACCGTCCGCAGGTATCCTGATATGATCTCGGGCCGAGCAAACTTGAGGACGGGTTCCTCCAAATCCGGACTGGCCTGCCAAACCAAATACGTCCGGGTTCTGTAACCAAAAGAAAACCAGAGTTTCAAACCCACATCCAACCAATCCTGGCCCGAGAGGTTGGCGTCTCGACGTATGAAGAAAGGAACCTCAGCCACCTTCTTGTCGTGACCAGTGGTCTTTGTATGTGTCAAGACACCCTTCAGCCCCGATGCATAGAGAAACAATCTGTTCACATCGATGCCCTGCAAGTCTGAGACCCTCATGCATGCCCAAACGCAGATCAAACACGCCCAGGCCAAGCAGCGTCCATATGTCGGGTTTTCCTGCGCACAAACGAAGATCTCCAAAGCAACGAGCATCGATACTGTCAGAGGTGGAGCCTGCTTATGTGAAGTTCTGCCTTCCTTCAGATCTGCCATATAACTCTTGGAGGCCGAAACGACCAATCGATCCTTCGAAAGTTGTGCAGGGGTAGGGACCTGACCAGCATCCTCCAGGACAGATAATGCAGCCATGAACTCATCGATGCAAGTCTTGGTCCCTACCTCCTGCTCCAAGAAGACCAAATAGTCCAAAACATCCCCAGCAGTTTTCGGGAAAACGACGTTCTTAACATTCTGAAACCATTGTCGCGCCTTCTTCCAGCACCTGGCTCGATTCCTCAGAGTTTTGGAACGCCTAACACCCAAGGCACGGAACGCAAAATTTGCCCGCTGTTCTTCGGTGTCTGCTGGCACATCGCAAATTGGCAGCTTTGCTTCCAGCATGATTTGTACCAGAACCATGCCCCAAAACTTCTTTGCCACCTTCTCAGCTTCTGCCGGAGACCCAGTATTTCCAGACAACCAACGAATCTGTGATCTGCTGACCTTCTTCTGCAGCTCAATCGAACCACTCACTTGTTGCGAATATACGTCTGAAGCAGCAGGAGTATCACGGACGAAAGCTTCCACTTTCCGCGCCTTGCTCAAAATCTTTAGTTGCAGCCGTTTCAACATATCTGTCTGGCCTGAAATCCATGTCCAAAGGAGTTCACCCTCTCGTTCCAGGTCCGATTGATCCAGGCCCTCTGTCGCCTGTCCAATCAGAATTGCACAGTCATCCGCATCATCGACTGCACAAGCCACATGCCAGGGGGTTGCATAAAATTTTCTAATCAGTGGGACACAGCTGCAGCCACTCTCCTGTAAAGAAGACCACAATCGGTCCTCCATCCTGATCAAACAAACCCATCTTATGAAACCATTGCGCGAAGATGTCCCTCCAAGGGACGCCCCCCTGACATCAAAACTAAAAGGCCTCCAAGGCCCTACCTAACTCCACCTTCCGTTTGCCCCAAAATGTTGCACGAACATCGACTGTACACATGTTTTATCAAAATTGCAATCAATCATACCAATAGCTCTCCAAACTGAAATTTTCATGTGAAATCCGATCTCAAAACAACATGTTCGCATGCAGGCTGAAAGTGAACTGACATGACTGAAGAACTGAAAGCAGGCCACATGTGAATCCTCGATCCAAAACCCAAACTTGGGTGGCGACCAAGCTGAAGAGAATCCACCGCCACCCAACCTCACCCCTCCCCCCTCCCAGGCGAATAGGGGAACAAACTGTTTGGTCCGTTTCACTACCCAAACAAGGCAAGGCACAAGCAGTGCCCCCCAACCTTGTGCCCTTGTCCGACAGGGAGGCCGGCTCAGCATAGAGATCCCATCCTAGGGATTGCAGTGTGGCTCGCCTTCCATGCAGCAGTTCCGGTGTGAGGTGGGTTTCCTGCAGACACACCACCTTGGCTTTGGAGGAGGTCACCCACTCCAACGCCCCGTTGTTGAAACTGGTGACATTGGCGCTCATGATGCTTCGATACTGGTCAGGCGAGGCGGAAGGTTTAACCTTCTCATGGCTGGGCTCTTCTGAGTCGGTGCCCTCGCCGTGTGCAAGGTCTTCCTCTCGTTCCTGCTGACCCAGCACCTGTTCCGGTGTCAGGGGCTCCTCACTCTTTGGGAGCTCAGAGGCTATCACCTCCTTTGCCTGTTGGATGGCTTTCCCGGTGACATCCTCTCCTTGCTCTAGGGCACGCAGGACCATCCTGCACCAACCCCAGGCCAGGGAGTCCTCCGCCATCACCTCCTCTTGGGCTTCGATGAAGCTTAAAAGGGTGGCTTCCTTCGCCTGGAAGGGGCTCGCTTGGTCTTCCAGGAGGCTGACCACCTCCTGCCATGTCATATCCGAACCCAAATCTTCTGGGCTGCAGAGGGAAGGTATCACCTTCTGGGCTTCATCATTACATTGTGGTGGGGGGGGGGCCTTGGGTA